GCGGCTGGCCCGGCGGGGAACATGGCGGCGTGAGGAGAGGGGGGCGGGGGGAGCGGAGGGGGGAAGTTTCAGCTAAAAGCGGGAAAAATCTGTTAAGTTGCGTTGTTTTTACTTTTAGTTTTAATGGGGGCGCGTTGGGAGGGAGTTAGGGTGGTGAGTGCAGCGGGGCCGAGGGATGCGACCCTTTGTATGATGGCACGCTGAGCCAAAACACGCAGATTTGGGGCCAAAACGCACGAAAAGAGTGTTTTGTAGCTGGAAGGGCATGACCTCTGGGTGCTTCCTGCGGGGACCTTCTCATTTTCCCCCCTCTTTGTCCCCCTAATTGGCCTGGTGGTGGAGCAGAGCTTGACTGGGCCCGTTGGTTCTCCCGTGTTTTCAGTTTGTCGCCGACGGCATCTTCAAAGCGGAGCTGAACGAGTTCCTGACGCGCGAGCTGGCTGAAGATGGGTACTCCGGTGTGGAGGTCCGGGTCACTCCCACCAGGACCGAGATCATCATCCTCGCCACCAGGTAACTGAGACGTCCTGCCGTTCTGCAGGTGCGATGCCAAGTTGTGTGCGATGCTGCTTTCCCTTAAAATACTTAAAAATACTATTAAATTCTTCCCGAGGAGCATTTCTGCATTTTTTTTTTCTTGCAGAACTCAGAATGTCCTGGGTGAGAAGGGGCGCCGCATCCGGGAGCTGACGGCTGTTGTGCAGAAGAGGTTTGGCTTCCCCGAGGGAAGTGTTGAGGTAAAACTTGCTTCAGTAAAACAGTGTTGAGCTCTGTGGTTTGCTCTGTGCAAAGCTGGGTAGTGGCAGTTGAAAGGGAGTTTCTCAAAGGCAACTTGAGACTTGTGTTACCTGCTTGTGTGCAGTAATGTCGCCTGGGAATAGGGAATAGGTTGGTCTTGGGTGTATCGTGTGCGCTGTTAGTTTGTCTTCTTTTCCCTGCTCTCCCAACTGGGAGGATCAGAGAGCAGTTAAATTGTGTTTAACACATTTGTAAATATTCTAGAAAGAATATTACTGTATCAGTGTTGAGGTGGGGAGTCAGTCTCCTGGTTTTATTTTGCTTTTTGTACTTGCTTTGGCTCTCAGTGATTTTAGAGACTTTTTTTCTCTATGGTGCTGTAATGAATTGGACAGTAAAAGGACACAACAGTAATTCCCTGGTGTCTTTTTAATGCTTGAAACCTGGTACCTCCTCTAGTATTTTCCCCTAAAACAAGTTATGTGAATGGAGGGTGTCTGGTTTAAGGTAGTGCTTATATTCTGCTCAGCCAGTGTTGAACACCTACTTGTTGCTTCCTCTAAAGCATCAGATTTTGGCCTCTTGGAGATGGTAGATTAAATCTGCATAATTTTCCCAGCACTCCTGTTMTTTTTTTATTTTTTTCATGTTGACTAAAGCCAGCTGTTTCATTTTACATTACATTTACATTTTACATTACATTTGCAGCTGCTGCCAGGTGRTTTAAGCAAACTTATCCTGTGCACTGCTGTAAATCTGCACTGCAGGAGCAGTTCTTGAGACCATCAGGATACTTGTGTCTCTGGGGTTACTTGATGTTTTGGGGCTGTTTGGAAGCAGCAACTCTCTGAGTCCGCGTCAAGCATGTTTTAATGATCTGCTGACATTTGATGGAGTGTCATTAGTGTGTGTCTCTGGGGGCCAAAGTTGTTAAAAGAAATACAGAATCTGAGGGTAAAGCTTCACAGAAAGACAAAACTGCAAAGTAGAGGACAGGAGGTGATACAAAGCTCTTGTGGCCTATTAAACTAAAAGCATATTGAAATCACCTGTGTTCCTGAGCTTGCTGCTTTTTCCTTTGTAGCTCTACGCGGAGAAGGTGGCGACGAGAGGACTGTGCGCGATCGCTCAGGCCGAGTCGCTGCGGTACAAGCTCCTGGGCGGCTTAGCCGTGCGCCGGTGAGTGCAGCAACATGATGCAGCGAGGAGCCCAGGCCTTAAACACCCTGCTGGAAGAACCCCTTGCCAACACGCCCTCARTTCAAAAGCGGAGCTAGGAATAGGACACCTGGACCGGGCTGGTGTTATTTTTGTTGCTGTTATCATATGCAAGCTTTTAAACTTGTATACAGTTACTTTCAGTAGCAATGAGGTGATACTTTTATTTTAAAAGCAAACTTGGAAGTTTTCTGGTTACCTGGTGGATGGGTAAAAYCTGTGTTCACTTCTCTGTGAATTAATGGGAGGCACGGGGGAACTGAAACACAATTTTGTGTCTTCTGGCTGTAATCGGGCAAGAGCAGCCTTGCTTCTCAGGTCCCTTCGGTGATGATAAGATGACGAGTCAGAAGAGGGGTGACTCCTGTTGAGCGGTACCTGCAGTGTCATGTTCTGTGATGCTGTGCATGGTTCGTTAGCAGGAGCACCCTGTCATCATTGAACGATTTAGAGGCATTTGTCTGAGAAGGGATGTGCATGAGGCTCTTGGTGTGGATGGTTTGGTCACCTTCAGCCAAGGAGCTGCTCTTCCAGCGTGTGCATGTCACTGTCCCACGGCCTTCTGAGAACGATAAGACAGTGATTGTTTCAGGCTGGCTTTGATGCTGCTAAACTGCTGGGAAAAATTAGCATAACACAGACATAGCTTTGGTTGCACAGCTGTGTGCTTGGGACACTGCTCAAAGTGTCATAGTCTTGGCTTGAAACAGGGTGTAAAATGCCCCAGCAGAGCCAAGCAGAGCTGAGAGCACCTTAATCAAGAGATCTACAGAGCCTAACGCGGTGGGTGTTGCTGCTCTCTCCCCGCAGAGCCTGCTACGGTGTCCTCCGCTTCATCATGGAGAGCGGCGCCAAGGGCTGCGAGGTGGTCGTCTCCGGCAAGCTCAGAGGCCAGCGCGCCAAGTCCATGAAGTTCGTGGATGGCTTGATGATCCACAGCGGGGACCCCGTGAACTACTACGTGGACACAGCCGTGCGTCACGTCCTGCTGCGGCAGGGTGAGTGGCTGGGGTGCAGGGACCTCTGCAGCCCCGTTGGGCTTCGTGTATCTGTAGCTCAGAGCCAGAAAATCTGAACTGCTGCTATCCAGCACCTGCAGCTTGGGGGTATTCCTGGAGATATTCCTGGGTCTGCTGGTAGCTTGCATGGCTATGCACTGCTGGTCTGCTAGAGCATTTCACTTGTAACACTGGAAATTTGTTATTTTCTCAAGGCTAAACTCTGCTTAAGGGAGTTTGCTCATCCTGTCTAACTTAGACCTTTATTTGCGCTTGTGCTGTGTGAAGGGGAAATTGAGAAGGGACCTTAAGCAGGCAGTGGGACTTTGTTTAATGAGCCCAAGTCACTGACTTTCCTAATGGTAGGAATTTAATGTATCTCATTGGAAAATCGGTTTTAGATTTCCCAAGTGCTGCAATTTGTGTCCGATGGCCTCTGACTTGTAGCAACCCAACTTATGGGGAAGCAAATCRTATTGAGTGGGTGAAGACCTGTTGGCAGTTTGGATTTTGCTTTTCTTGCCTCCCAGAGTTGGACAGACATGAGTGCCACAAGAACCATAAAAAAGCAAGTGTTAGTGACCCTTGTCCCTCCTAGCTCTACTCTGTCATGTCCTCCCAGCCGAACCAGCTGAGCCTGCTTGTGCTTGTCCTTCCTTCTGGTAAAACACAAGAGAAGTGTCTGCATTTAATCACCATTGGGTTACTTAATTGCAGAACCCTTGATGTGGACATTATGGCATGTACAGAAGTACGTATAGAATCATACAGAGGAGCCATCCCTTCAGTGATGATACGATGACGAGTCAGAAGGGACGTCCTTGCCTGGGTGCAGCCTGCTCAGTGCCACGTTCTGTGGTGCTGCACCGGGGTTGCCCTGGGCAGGACAGCCTACTCAGTGGATGATTTAGAGGCATTTGTCTGAGAAGGGATTCATAGAAGCGGTTCCGCTTTCTAGGAAGCTGAATTTATTCATTCCAGAAGGGAAAAGGTTTAAAACTAGAATTTGGACTTGGAGATAGAGTGCATTATCATCATGGTTTTCGTAGACTGAAGTTAGCTAAGGCAATGTATGAATACAGGTAAATGCACCAGTGTAATATCAAAGTAACCAGATTTTGTGTTAATCAGCTTCATCAATCAGCTCGCTTCATAAACAGATGTTTTTTGCTGCAGAGACCTTGCTTTGTAACTGTAGGACTTGTCTCACACTGCTCAGTGTCCACTTGATGTTTGTGCTGAGGGAATGTGTCTGTATTGTCCCCTTTGCAGGTGTCCTRGGTATCAAAGTAAAGATTATGTTGCCTTGGGACCCCAGTGGAAAGATTGGCCCCAAAAAGCCTCTGCCAGACCACGTGAGCATCGTGGAGCCCAAAGAAGAGATCCTGCCCACCACCCCCATCTCCGAGCAGAAAGGTGGCAAACCAGAGCAGCCAGCCATGCCCCAGCCAGTTCCCACTGCCTGAGGGGTAAGTGTCTGCTAACCTGTGGAAGATCCCTGCAGGAAAGGTCCTGCCACCATGAAGGCTGTCAGTGCTGGGAAGAAGAGCTGAATTGGGGTGTTTTCTTCCTCCTGCTGCACTAGGCCAGTCAGCTTGCTAGGATTTAGGGTTTTAGAGTGGCTGKAATGAGGGGCAGGGTTGACTGGTCCACTGCAAACCAAGACCCTTCAGTGAAGATGTGATGACGAGTCTGAAAAGGAGTATCCAGGTCCAAGTACCTGCTCCATGTCGTGTTCTACAGCATGGATTTGGGGGAGCTTGGCTCTGAGTGAGTGACTTGAGGCATTTGTCTGAGAAGGGCTTGGGTGTCATTCACATCTCACCACCTGGGCCGCTACCAGGCTGCAGCTGACAGCACAGGATCAAATGTATATGTCCTCATTGCAACAGATATATATTGGGAACGCAGCCTAGGATTGATTCTCAGGGAATAATGTGTTGAGCACAATGTATAGGCTTGTTCCAGAAGTAAATAAAGAAGGTTGGAAACTCGGTGTCTCTGAATGAAGTACTTCTAAAACAAATGGATAGCTGGAAATTCTTCTTGTCTACTCTTGAGTTATCCCTGGTGAAAACTTGCAACTTTTAAGTGCTTTTAAGAAGCTTCATTTTCTTTCTCTCCCATTAGAGCAGCAGGAGATGGGGGTGCCAAGGCCTTTGCTTGAGGCAGTTTAAATCCACATCTCTCAGAAGAGATCTTAGCCACCAGCGTAGCCATCTGGGGTTGTCCTCTGACTCAGCCTGGCACTGTGYTCAGGAACTTTTCAGGACTGCAGTGAAATGTGGGAATCTGACTAGTAAAGCATGCTCCTGTGGGGAAAAATAATGTAATTATGGCTTAAATGGGAGAGAAAGAAATGGGAGATATTTACCTGAATGCTAGAGCCTGGTTTTCCAGTGTTTTGGGGAGGAGAGTGCTCACGGGGAAGTGGTTTGCTACCCTCTCACTCAGTATTTTGTGTTGTTTTGTGTTGTAGGGTTTGTACAACCTGCATCTGGAAGCTGGACTGTCCTGAAAACATCTCTTAATAAAATCACAAAAGACAGTGTATGTGGAGGTGCTTATTTTTGCAAGATGTATTCCAGGAAAGCCTTGCTCCTCCCACCTTGGGTATGGAAGGTTTTCCTTTGCATTGCACCCAGCTTGCTGGACTCCCAGAGTGAATTCACCAGGTCCTGGTCTAAGCAAAATGGGGCCAAAATTCTGATTTCTAGGGAGAGCTAAAGCAACAGTCTGATTTTTTTGAGGGTCATGCCTAACCCTCCAAAAGCAGGAATCCTCCTAAGTGTTAGTGAAATAACTTTCCATATCCAAGTTCTTCCAGGAGGGGGAGCTTTTATTAGCAGCTTCTGAGGCAGTTGCAGATATTTTCTGGCTTAAACCAAAGTTTTGCTGTATTCTACTAAAAGCTTCCTTCTTTCATCTCTATTACCTCAGTTTTCTTTGTTGCTGCAGGATATTCAGTATAAACTGTAGGCCTACAGACTGTATGGGAACATTATTGCTCTTGTCAGGGAGATTAAAATATTGATGGAGAATACAGGGTGAGACGAGTTTCTAGCCATTTATCACATTATAGAAAAAGGTATAAACAGATTTCAGACCTTCTATCCTCAGCATTAAGGTGTAGATGTATTTAAGCCCTGGATAAAACCTTTTCCACTGAGACTTGGATAGATAGTGTGTTGATTTGTCACTGTATTAATAACTGTGACTTTAATGTGCTGGACAATAACATGATTAGATTTTGTAGAAGTTGGTAATTAGATTCCAAGGCTACTGATGCTAGAAAAAGAACTCAGTTATCCAGAAGGGTATTTTCCTGCTGCATTCCTGCCTGAATTGCTCTTGGGGCTGCTCTTGTGTCTCTCTGGATTAATGTAAGGCTTGGCTGAAGCAGTGACAACATTTTTTTTTTTTTTGTCACGATTTAGGCAGAGTCTTGTTCTCACTGTATATTTTTCAAGTTGCTACAATTATGGGAGGAATTATTGCACACATTTTTCCCCAGCTTGGAGAAATTCAGGAACCATTTGTTGCATTAATTGGATTTGTTACATGTAAATCTGCAGAATCTGGTCTTTAGGAGCAGCTCCTTTTTCCTGGAGTCCTCTCTGAAGGAACCAGGCAGATAAGCTGGAGACTGGAGCTTGCAGCATCAGAAATGGGTCTGTCTGGCAGCCACTTTGTGCTGTGGCCTTCCTGTTCCCAGCTTTTCCAGCAAATCTGGAGCCCTGGCCTGGCAGGGTGCTGCCTTGGGAAGCTGGTTAGGTCAGGAACAGATGTTGCTTTCTTAGGCTTTCAGAAATGTAGTTTCTCTGCCCGTTTTCCAGTAGAAAGCTTAAAAATCCCAACTTTCCCATGTGTGAGCATTGAGTTAGTGATTACAGTGAGAGACTTTGCACTTTGTAGGAGCAGGGAATGAGTGGAAGCTGGAGGGCCTGAAGCAAAAGAAGAGGATGACACTCGGTGACGTGCAGTGCAAAGCCTGGCAATCAGCATCTCAGTTCTTCAATTCTTTATGTGTTAGGGGATGATCTGCTATTAATTTCTCAAAGTGTCTGTTGAATCTTTGCTGTTTGACACAAGCACAAAGCAGCTTGAATTGTTTTTTGTGCCCTCTGCTTCACTCCTTGCTGTCCTCGAGGGCTGTTTTTCCTGAAACTCRTTCATATTCTGGTCTAAAGCCCTTCAAACAGATCCATCCACCTGTTAAATCTCACTTGAGTGCAGATCACTGATAGGATCAAGTCTTTAGTTGCAGGATGAAGAGCTGGGTAAGTAACTGTATGGATGTTGCTGCATCTCCTCTTGCTGCATCCAGCGTGCTGGGAGAGGATGATATTCAGGATTATCCTGTTGGGAAATCAAAGCTGCTAATTGGGAGGGCACGGGAGCTAATGGGGGGTCTGGGCTGACTTCTAACCCCTTTTCAATGATGTAGTTCCAGCTCCGTGGTGTTTTCTGGCTGCTCTGCTGGTTCTGGCCACCCTTTTTTTCTTCCTGCAGTGAAAGACCTTGTGCCAAATGCCTTGTGGTCAGGTCCATTTGTGAACTGAATGCACAGCAGGTTAATCCCAGGAGGACACACAGCAGTGGGATCTGATCCTGCTGGATTCTCCCAAGACCTGTGCATGCTCACAGCCTCAGTGCGGCTTCTTGCACCTCCCTTGACTGGATCCCAGCCAAAAAACCTTCGGGTTATAGGGTCAGAAAAGCAAATTCCTGGGTCTACTGGCTCCGTTGTACTGTCTTTTTTTTTTGATTTTTTTTTTTTTAACAGGGCCATTTACTCGCAGCTAAATGTCAGAGCAGGGGAGGACAGAGTCCTTGGATGTGTGAAGCATTAAAATTTCAGGGGAAAAATGTGAAAATACTGTATTTGAAAAGCAGAAATGCTAATCCTGTTTCTTTCCCAAAACATAGATGCCATGGAAATTAATATGCTGCCGTGTATTAAGTGCAGTTTGATGTATAAATAGCAGATTATAGAAAGAATATCGGATTTAATGGTAGTAGGGAGTTTGTGTAAGCACTTTGAAGAGAAAACATGTTCYACCCAAGCCCTACAGATCACTGCAACGGCCAGAGCTTCACTGAAAAAGTTTTATTGCAAAATAACACAATGGTCATTGTGTGGTACAAGAACAGACAACAAAAAGCCATCAGGTAATTCACAATTCAGGTAATTYGCAATATCCTGTGCTGTGTTCTTGCCCTGCCCTCCCCTTCTCCCCTCTGCTCTCCATCCATCATGTGCTACAGCACGTGGCTTTCAGTGCACCCCTTCACCAGGTCGGCTCCAGCATACACTGAATTTTAGGCTTCCTGCACATTTGGGTACTTGTTTCCCCACCTTGCACCCCAATACATTGAGGAAAGTGCCTTGGAGAAGGGGSTGGGAAAAGACTGGAGGTCACAACTCTCCTTCCTCCTGGCCTGTTACGTGACCTGGGGCACATTCATTGTGGTGTGACCTTGCAGAAGACACCGTCGGGTCAAACTTGGGTGGCACAAGTTGCTTTGGTTTTGGCTCTSTGAGACTAGGCCTAATAAGACTTAATACCTGTTAATAAATAAGTGGAAATAGTCCTGTGTATGATCTGAAACAATGCAGTATTGGGCTTGTGTAGCAAATGTGTTGGTGGGGAACCATAAACTGGAAAAAAAAAAACCCAAAAAACAGCATCATCAGTGTCCTTGCTGGTTCCAAACTACCAACATTTAGGTGGTGGCAGGTGGATTTTCCTCTTTAACTAATCTTGTCCTTACTCACTGGCCCTGTCTCTGCATGGCAAGTTTTTCAGTGTGCCCTTCTCAAGGTCAGCTGGGGGAGCTGAAGACTCAGAGAAAGAGGAGCTGCAAAAATAATGTTAAAAAAAGGGTCATGAGGAAGTTGGGCCGCTCTAAAGCTTTGCATTTAAAGTGGAAACAAGAGCTRGTTCCTCTGCTGAGGCCAGCAGGAATCTCTTGGGTTTCTACWGGAGCTGGTGGGTACTGGCCCTGGTGGTAACTGGGAGAAGCTTCCAAGCATAAACTGCCTCTTCCAGCTGCATGTGCTGATRGAAAAGCACCAGGAGATGAGAAGTTTCCCTCTTTGCTTGGCAAAAGATGCTTAACTAGAGATGCTGGCCCAAGAGCCTCCTCATGGTCCCCACAGAGGTGGACAACAGCCGCTCACAGGTCTCAGTCTTGCCAAGAGCCTTGGGGAGGAACCTCGGGTGGAGCTTTTGCTCCCTAGGAGCTTATTTGTTCTTTGGCCTCGCTGCTGCCACCGTAACCCCCCAAGCTGCTGCTCCATAGAGGGTTTGCTGTGGAGCAAAGCTGCGCCTGGCTTTGCAATGTCCCTCTAGCTATGGGAGCGGTGGCTTTTGCTTAGGCTGAAGCATCTAGCACTCCTCGTCAGAGCARGGTTAGGCAGGACAGAAGGGTCTCCATGCAGGTGCAGTTCTCAGGAGAACGAAGAGGGGAATGTGCTCCTACCTTCTCTACAAGCAARGAACAGCTTCAGCAAAGCGAGCAGCACGGTATCAAAAGGGAGAAACGTTAGTGGCAGAGCTGCGTGTGCAGAAGCGTTTGAGGTGGAAGGCGTGGAGGCCTCGCACCGTTGCGGGGCTGATGGAGCTGCAAAGGGCTTAGCAGGAGGCTTCATTCAGGGTGGAGGCATCAGCCTGAACATCTCAGCTGAAGGAACCGACAGCTCCCTCCTGCTCCTGGTGACCCTCGTGTGCCAGGCTCCTCTCTTCCTCTCTGGAGGTGGGTTTGTGCAGTAGAGTATGTCGGGGTGAGGTAAAGTGTATGCTGGTTCCTCATCAAAATGCACCCTGGTCTGAATAGCACCCATAGTTCAAGAAGGATACAAAATAGTGTTTCCCCTTTTTTCAAATCCCTCGCTAAAAAACACAAACCAATTCTCTGGAGAAAAAAAAAAAAAAAAAAGCTACAACTCGTCACGCATCTTGTCCCCTTTGGGCCTCACGAGCCGGCCGATGAAGAGAATGGAGTTGGTTTTACTGTCCTTGATCATGAAGATGAAGGGGTGGTCAGCGTAGAAGAGCTTGGGGTTCCGCATCTCCTCTCGGCCATAGATGTCGGCGTCATACGGGTTCCCGTCCGTGTCCCATTCCAGAGCAGCGGCGTGGAAGACGTTGGACAGGTAAAGGTCTTTCTTGCCAGAGATCTTCGATAGGTCGGCCTTCGTTTTGTCAATGGCTTCCGTCAGGCCCAGGTCAGCCAAGTGTTTCTAGAAGAAGAAAGACATCAGAAACCCTCCCAAAGATGACAACACAATCCTTTCCACCCATGGTCACTGCAGAAGAGGACACCTGGCACAGAMAGCACCTCGGTGTCTTCTCTCCTACCCCCAAGATCTGCAGAGCCTGATGACTCTTTTCCATGACCAACTTTACCTGAAGATCGTGGCTGACTTCCAGAATGACTTTAGGCAGTGAGATGGCCACCGATCTCTTCTTCATCTTGCTAGACCAGGTCTTCAGCTGCTCCTTGTTCAGCAGCTTCTCAACCCTCTCCAGTGGCTCCACGTGGTTTGGCATGATAAAGATCATGCTGGAGAGTTTGTGGGCAAGCGGCATCTCCACCACCTGCAGCTTCTCTGCCTCATCATCATAGTAGTTGTAGAGACCTTGGGAAGTCAGAAGCAGAGCCAGATGAGATGCAGGGCACAGGTGAAGCTACCAACAGGCCTGGGCTTCCCTGACTGGCAACGCAATGATGCCTCCAAAGTACCACTTTGGGAGTCAGCAGCTCCTCAAAACTGCTGCTCTCACTTGTGTGATGAGCTAGAGTCTCATCCTAGCTGCCAAGCACCCAATAGGAAATGTGGATTTTCCCTGCTCATTGAGAGTTCAGATCAACAGAGCAGCTCACCCTGTTTCATTTTCCCTCCCTCATTGCAGGTCAACTAAAATATGGAGGCCATCAGTGGACAACTGCATCCAGCAGAGCAGTAATCCCAGTGGGGTCTTGGCCTGGGGCAGCAGTTTCACAACTTACCTGTGCGATGCATCATTGGAACCCCCACAGTGTAGGAACGGGTCACCATGAAGCCACGGTTGTCCACCATCTTATGATGGAACTTCTCATCCCAGTGAGCTACAGGAGAGAGAAATTCAGCTCATAAGAACGGGAATGGGTKGTAGCTTCATGCAGGAACAGAGCTGGCCTTAGTGGACCCAAGATTTGTTTACATTTCCCCTTAGAAATGGACTTGGAAAAGTCCCAGTGGGCTGGGAGCTGGGTCACTTGTACCAATAACTGAAGGTAGAACTTACGTTTGAAGAACATGGCGTTGACAATGAGGGCTCCATCAGTTTTCTCCACGTCTTTGGTCACCTCGGGGAGCTTCCCATCCGTGGTCTGGGCTGCCCACTCGTTGATGGATTTCAGGGCGCTCCTCTTGTCGCGGAAGTTGATCTTGGAGTGCTCGTAGTTGTAGTGCTTCTTGCTGTTCTTCACAAAGTCGTCGGCGAAGTTGATGGAGGCCGGGCCGTACAGGCGGTTCCCGATCTTCCAGGTGACGTTGCGGGCCGTGCTGTTGCTGACCTCGTTGAGGAGCTCCGACAAGCCGCTGTGCACGTAGTCGTCRTTGAGTTTGTCCGCGCTGAGCACCGCCTTGGCTTGGGACGCCGTGGCCGCCTTGCCCCCCAGGGACACGAGGCCRAGGGAGGAGGCCACAACCACGGGGGACAGCAGGATGTTCTCCATGCTCTTGTCCTTCGCCATGGCGTGGTAGAGGTTGAAGGCCAGCGTGGCGCTGCGGTCGGCCAACGTCGTTGCCTTGTCGCTCAGCTTCCTGTCCTCCGAGGGCACGGCGGCAGCGAGGCCGCACACGGCGAGCGCCAGAAGGGGCCACATGATTTYGGCAGCACCCAAAGCCTCCGGGGACCTGCTGGCCAAGAAATATCCCGGGTGAGCAMAACCCAAGACCTCCTGGAGCGCCCGCTCATCCCAAGGGCTCTTCCAGTGGCACTCGCTCCCAGGCTCCAGTGACAGGAGAGCCAGAGCGGCTGCAAACCTCCAGCATGGTCAGGAGAAGCTAAAAGGAGGACGTTTCTGCTGTGCATGGACCACCAAACCTGTTGCTGCCGCGGTTGGGATATGGCAGGGATGGTTCCTCTCCGAAGGCTCCACCTCAGCGCCCAAGTGCTCACCCTTCTAGGCGCTAGATGGAGCGCACGAGCTCCACCAGGCTTGGTCAGATYCTGGGGAACATCTGACTCTGGTCAGCTCTGTCAGATGGATTCAGGAGGAAAGAAGGAGAAATCCTGCTCTCCTCCAGTACAGCCCCTTCCCAAAACACAGAGGCATCTTAGGAGGACCTAACTGTGCCTGCCTCCCATGAGGGCTGCAGGGATTTGAGCTCGATSCTCAGATTAGTTCTGAAGCCCGAGGACTCCTCAAGGAGCCCGTGGGCCTCACGGTGAACACGGACTCCAGGCAAGTTGTTCCTACTCCTCCTTTACCGAGCAGACAGCAAAAAACACAACCGAAGGCGGCTCATCCCTCCTGCCTCCGAGGTGAAAATGGGATTTAAACTCCATCTCCGGGCGCCAAAAAAACCAAAACAGCTTAAAAAAATTGTTTTTTAAGCAACTTTTTTTTGCTGTAGCAACAGGGCGCCCAGGGCCCCGATGGAGCTGAGTTCCTCGGCCACATCCTGTGGGGCCGTGCCGGAGGCTCCGGAGTCAAGGCAGCCGGAGCAGGAAGCCAAGGGCCCCCTGGGATTACACAGGCCGGGAAACGGCGGAGCCCGGAGCGACGTGACGAGGGCGCAGCCGCCGCAGGGCCCTGCTGCCAGAGGCGGAATGAGGCAGCCTCCGCAACGGAGCGGGATCCGTTGGGATTCACACACCTTCCCGCGGACGGGAAGGGATGGATCCAGCAGCAGGACGTGGGCAGGGGGCTCCCTGACGCACTCCACGGTGCGCAGAGCACGGGCAGGGCGACAAACACGGGAGATCTGCGCTTTGCGGGGGACATTTTTCCTCCTACATCTAAAGATACCTTGGAATTGTTTCCTAGGGAGCTCAACGCCTGCCCTTTTCATTCTGAAAGAGAACGGACACAGCGGGTACTTCTCTCGCGAGCAAACGCCGCCTCCGTCCTCCATCTCCAAGGGAAAAATCCTCCACGGGGGCCGGAGCCTCCGCGCGGGCCGACGAGTTTTGCCCATCCTTGGCCGCGTCCCCAGCGCYAGGCCGGGAAGGGGGCCGGGCTGGGAAGGCCGCGCGCGCCGGGACGTGCCAGCGTGGCAGCCGCCGCGGAGCCTCCACCRCCCAGGGCCGCGTCTGCCCCTTTTTTGGGGTGAAACCCRYKYAAGGAGAGGCCGCTTTGGGGCTGTSGGAGTRGGGGCCATGGGGCAGCCCCAGCGACGCCGGTGCAGGGAGCACTGGGGGCAGTTTTTCCCCCTTCCTTGCTCACGGACCGCAGGGATCCGGACACGGTGCATCGCAAGGGACCCCTTACACCAAGCCACTATTTTCCTCTTCTTTTTCTTAATCACTCCATGGGAACCCCCTTCCAAAAAAAAAAAAAAAAAAATCCCTCCAGGGTGCAAAACTTATCCACAAGCATCTCCTGCAAGGAATTGGGAATACTGGGGCTCTTCTTTTTGGAATAACAGGAGAAAAGGGAGGGGGATGTGGGCTGGAGTCCCCCCTCCCCCTTCGTCGTACCGCCCCCCTCTTTTTTTCCTCGGGAACCCCAAAATTCCCCCCTCTTCCAGGTCCCCCCCGCCCACTACCTGCGTCGGGGCCGGGGCGCCTCCTCGCTCCGCTTCGCTGCTCCTTGTCCCTCCTCGTCCCGCGCAGGGGGGTTTATAAGGGGCCGCCGAGAAACTTCTGGAAAGTTGGGAAAAAAAATTCTCCAAAAAAAAAAAAAAAAAAAAAAAAGAAGAAGAAAAAAAAATAAAACAAGACCCGCCAGCCCCGGGGAGGGAGAGGAAGGGGAGGATCCGGCCGCGCTCGCCCGGCCTCCCACCAATGGCAGGGAGCGACGGGACTGCAAAGCCGGGGGGGCCGGGGGGGGTCCCTCCTTCTCCAGGCCCGCCTGGAGCTTCCCGTGTCCCGCTCCGAGCCGGGCCCGGCCGCTGCGTTTGGAGCGGAGCTTTTCGCCTCTTTTGGCAGTGTTCGGGTTGCATTTTTTGCACCCCTACGGGGTGATTTCTGCCTCTGCGGGGTGGGAGAGGGGCGCAGAAGGGCTCCCTGCCCCAGGGTCTGGCTGCAAGCAGAGCAGGCGGGGGGCTTTGGGACACCCGGAGTCACCCCCGTTGGGTGGCACCCCTGGGGAACCTTCTTTGGTCTCTAGGGCAAGCTGAGGGTCAAGGTATGAGGAGCAGCTGCCGAGCTTCCCTATTTCCTATCCATCTATCCATCCTTCTGTCCCTCCTCCATCCCTCCATCTCACCAAGACCCCCTTAGCAGTCACAACAGTCTAGGTACCACCCAGTGATTCAAGCCTCAAACTCATCACCATGCCCTTTAGCCAAGCTCCTGTTTTGCTTCAAGTGTCCAAGCAATTTCCATCCATCCCAGCCCCACTCCACGAATGTCACTGTAGACCCCACAAATCTGTCACTCCGCTCCAAAGACGGGGGTCTCAGCACATCCCTATGGCTGCAACAAGGTGAAAGAGCATCCAGCTTTGCACGTTTGGCCCTCAGACTTGGGTTTTGGGCTTGCAAGTGCCTTGTCGTGGGAGAAACAAGCTCCGCAGAGCTGCGGTACCAGAGCAAACAGTGTGTCCTGGTGTCACTTCCAGCGGCACGGCCTTGATCGCAGCCGTAGCTGATAAGGGCAGGGTTGGCCGGGCGCTTGTCCCAGTCTGGGAGAAAAAAAAAAGCAGCTCCTCCATCCATCCCTGATCTCCTGTATTATGGCTGAATTGATCCATATGGGATAATTCCCCCCAAAAACTGCTATAGGGGCAAAGGACCACGGGGTCGCCATCAATGGGTGCTCTTGGGGGCACAAAATGTGAAGCTGTTTCAGCAGCCTGAAGGCTCCTGGCTTTGGATGACCGTGATTTTTGTTTCTTTTCCAGGGCGACTGTGTGGAGAAGGAAGGGCCTGAATGAAGCATTTCCAGCTGTCATCACCCCTGGGCATTTGGCACCCAAAATACCTCGTACTTCACCCTGCAGCCCGTAATGATGTTAATGGTCCTAAAGGCATCAGGAAGGTGATGTTCTGAGCTCAGCCTCTTCCTTGGGAGACATTCACTGGGATCACCTCACTTTGAGGTGCACTGAGCACCAACCATCTCATTGCTTACTCTATATTGGGAACAATTTTGCCTTTGGTGGGGCTTTGCATCTATGTAAATGATGCAAATTTTCCCCCCCAAGTGCTTTTATTTTAATAGCAGTATTTACTGATCTTTATTACTGCTTGGCCTTTGGGGAAAAAAATAACTTTGCTGGTTGCAGAGCCTAAGTTTATTCCAGCAATATTGAGCAAAACTCCTTTGAGCTCCCAGGCTGCCCTGCCAAGCTTCGGATCGCTCCACCTTCAAAGCCACCCGGGTGGTTATTTCCCGTGCACAGGGTCTATTCTTCCAGGGGAAGGGAAAAATAAACACCCTCAAACTTCCCCATCCCGACCTCCCAGCTTTCCCAGAACTGCAAGGCCCTGTAATTCCCATGTCCTATGTGGGTTTGCCTCAAGGACGGAAAATGGGAAATCCAATAAATGTTGTTCTTTGTGTTGGAGGAATGTAGAACAGCAGAAAAACGGGGTGTTTTCCCCCATTTTTTGCCTATATTCCTATTCCTGCACCCACCATTAAGCCCCTACTCTGAATTTATCCCCCCAAAGCCCCCCAGCTGTATGTGCATTTCCCTGAGCTAAGGAAAACCGGGATACAAACAGGGTAAACGTGAGAACGGGGCTGCAGTGGCGAGGGCCGGGCGAGATCCCTGCTGCCATCGCGGCGTTTCCGAGCGGGATCCGGCCGCTCCGGCGCTCCCTTCCCCCACAGCGCCACGTCGGAGATGTCGCGGCAGGATGGGGGGAGCCTCGGGAAGGGGGGAGCCGYGCTGGGAGTTGCCTCCTTCCGTCTCCTCCGCCCCTGGATGCACGTCTGGCGCTGCCGGCTCTTCCCAGCGCCGGTGGGTTTCCCAAGAATGCAAGCTTTGCTTTAGGAATGCATCGAATTCCTGAGCTCTAATGCACTTTAATGCAGAAAAACAATGCAGAAAAACAATGCAGAAAATGCATAATGTGCTTTAATGCAGAAAAGCAACGTGCGCACAGCTGGGAAACATCTGGGCTAGCAACATTCCAGCCGCTTGGCTTTCTATCAGGCAGCCTTTCTCCCTCACTTCTTTACATATTAAAATAACACTATTTCCGCGGGGGAATTAAAGCACTGGAGCAAATCCGGGCTCTCTGGGCTGAGTTTTGCAGTACGAACCTGAGCAGTTTTGCACTTTCGCCCTTTCCCGAAGGCTGTGGAGACCAGGAGGTGCCTGCATGAGACACAGAGTCTCCTAAGCCGTCCCGGGTGCCAGGTTTCTGCTTTCCAGGAGCCAGCGAGGTCCCGAGCAGTGCCAGAAATGAAGGTCATTTCCACGAGGGGAGACTATTGCTTCTGTATCCAGAGCAAATTGTATGGATCGATATTTCGGAGCTGAACGGGGAGATAACGGTCTCATCTCTAGCTGCAGAGAGGAGCTTTTCCTGAGGTGGGAGGCAGTCCCATGGTGTGGGAAGGACAGGATTAACCAGGATACCAATGGAAACCTCCTTTTCCTGGATGCATGTGGGGAATTTGGACAGTGGTTGTCCACGGAGGGGCTGGCTTGACCCCTCAGTGAACATGGATGAGACCCAGAGCTCTCCGTCTTCCAAGGAGCAGGTTCAGGGCCCCAAGGCAGGACCACATGTTGGGAGGGTTGCCTGGATCCCCAGGATCCCACTTAGCTCCAGGGCAAATCCAGGATTCTGGATTAATGTCTCCTTTGCCACCCGTCTCCATCCCTTTGGCACCGTCCTGGYCCAGGGACAAGTGGCCTTGGCTGCGTCCTCAGTAGGTGCCAGGGAGGGACCTCCAAACCCACCCACATCCCTCAAGATGCTTTGCAAACCATAATGTTTTGGGCAGGATTTGAAGACCATTTTTTCCTGCTGTTTCAGCAAAATACTATGGAGAACAACCAGAGAGAAGCCAAAATAAAAGGCGGTGGCCCCGGAGCGGAGCGAATTTGGCCTCCACGGTTATTTTGGATCTGTGAGGAAGGATGGGGTGCTGAGACCCCCCGGGTGCTGCTTTGCAGTGGGATTCGGAGGAGAGAGCYGCCTTGATCCCGATGCGTAATCCCGGTTTAATGCTCCAGAGAAAGGGTCAAAATCCAGCGGGGAAATTCCTCCGGTGCTTTGGGATGGAAAGTTTGGCATCCGTGCAGCCTGGGCGGGCATCCAGGCTGGAACTGCCGCTTGCTGCACTGGGGAGCCRGGTCCTCAGCACCCGCCTCCAATATGGGGCCTTTTCACGCAAAGTACGGGTGGAAAAGTCCCACCAGTCACAGGAGTGGGGAAGCAGAGCCCTGCATGGCTTGGRGAATCTCTGATGTCTCGTAAAAGGCTGCGTTTGCAGCCACTGGGACAAGAAATCCTGCTTTCCCTTCCCAGCAAGATCCAACTTTCCTTTCCCTGCTGCCTGTTTTCAAGGGACATAGAAAAACCCCAACACTTTGAGCTCTCCTTTAAATTTAGCTGAAGCTTTTTGAGYGCTCAACGGAGGCGCAGGACCAAGTTCCTCCCCCTTCCCCATCCCCTTGCAACGTCTCCATCCCCTGCTAAGGAAACGGGCTTTAAAAGGAAAGGGTTGGTTACGGAGCKAGGGAATGGGAACGCCCCGAAGGCGACGCCGAGCAAGATCCGACGCCAGCCAATCTTGAGCTTCCAGCGCGGCGCTCGCGCCGAGCTCCCGCATCCGCGCGCGGATGGGATCCGTGCCGAGCCCGCCCCTCTAACCCATCCATCATCCTCAGGCCCTGGAAATCTAATCGAGAGTCCCTTGAAGGCTCCGATGCTCGAAAACGGGTTTTTTTAACCCTTGGAGAAATTTAACAAGGTCGTTTTAGGGATTTTTTTTTTCTTGGTGGCAGAAGGATGGTTGGGCTTGAATGAGCGTTGCCCAGTGGAACCTTTGTCTTTTCCGAGATTTTTAGTGCTTTTAAAGGGTGTTCTTGACGTTATTTTGCTGGATGTGATTTATATATAGTGTATATTTATTTATAATATAGATAGATTTATATATTTGTTTTGTTTTATGCATCTAACCATGCATTTCTCGCCGTCCGAGGCCGCCTATATCCCAGCTCAGCACTTCTGCCTGCAGGACCTTAGCAAGATGAAACGTCTCTCATCCATCCCCGTGCATCCAAACCCACATGGGTCTCCAAGCCCAAACCCGCCTGTCTCAAGCACAGCAGCAGGAAATAGCGCTGCGGCGTTCCCAGCTCTGCACGGAAAACCTGGCAGGCAAGTGGGGAGAGGCCRGATTTCTGGAAAATTCAGGGCGCCCACATGATGCAACGGCGCTGCCGTCTTGCAGAGCGACGACTCCGACTGTCGTCTGCACCGTTTTGCTGCAGATGTCAACGGGATGCAGCTGCACCTCAAGGAGGGGAATGTGTGTCCTGGCAGCGCTCCGGGTTTTGGGCATGCRTCAGAGAGAAACCTAATTTTAGGAGCAAATGCCGCTGCTGGATTTCCATTTTCTTCCTTTTTATTACARCTTGCAAGGAGGAAAGCTGTAGGCTGTCCAACACACCTTCTATTTTAGGGTTAACCGTTGCTGTGTGCAGTCTTGAA